ATACTGTACCAACTAAAACTTCTCCAGGCTTCAAGCAAACCATAAATATTTGTTACTATCAGTATAGAAATTAGTTTTTAAGCTTTGTCCTCTGTTCATCGTGCACAACTTCTCAATTATTACTTGCAGTCTTTCTCAGAGGTTTCCTAATATCATTGTGAAGAAGCAAAACACAATATAAATGGTGACAAAAATTGCTTATTTCCATATTATTCAACAACGCCAACTGAAACTACCCACTTCGGTAGAAGCAGAACTATTGCTAATCAGTGCCTTCATTCTCTAATACTTGCAAGCAGTTCCAAAACAAAAAAAATACCATCATCAGTGGTATCAAATATTCAGAGATCTTAATAGGACCTATGAGAATACATTCCCTTCAGCTTGGTTCCCACAAAGGTCATGGATCATAGCAACCAAAGCCATTTTTTATGTTCATTTATCAAAATCTATCAAATTCTGCAAGACAAAGATGAAAAGGACTGAACAGAAAACCAGGAAAAAATAGTGTTTTCCTCCAGCAAAAATATCCAGTGGGCCTTCTAGTTGGCTACACCCAGACAAAACACATGGAATTGTGTAGCTATAGCTTCTTGATCTTGGCCAGAAATTATATCTTGTGCAATATATCAGTCTATGGTTAATTTCCCTAAATTGATCAGTTGTCTGTATTTAGCTTAGTACTAAATTTATCTTTCATCATTTATCATTTACCTTTGTTTTAGTCATTGTTCAGTGCCATCAAGTCAGGCCAAACACTTCAGCAGCTATAAGAAGAAACACTGCCACCTTATCTTGGCTGTAGTGATTATCCATAGGTTCTTCAAGTATGTTATCTCTTTGAAATTGTCTGTTTACCTTATCTGTTATTTTTCCCTATTTCCTCCAATTTTGTCAAATAGATCTTTTTTCCTACCCTAATCACCCACTTCTACTTTTTGCCCAAAATATGTGAGTTTCTGTTTGCTGATCATTGCCTCAAGGCTTATTGGTCCAGGACTTATTGCTTGCTGCTTCTGGCAGTTTATGGTATACTTAATAACCATCTTGAAAGCTATAAATCAAATGGTTCTTTTTTCCCCTGTTGTTCTGTCTTTATATACAGCTTTCACTGTTGGAAGAAAAATATCTGTTATTGTCACAGAAATAATCTCATCTGTCATGAAATAGTCTGAATTTTGTTATTGCCTTCCCTCCCCAGAATTAATCATTTGTCTCGAACACATACCCATTTTTAAACCTAAATAAATAAAAAAGCTTCTACAGCCTTACTTGCTACAGAACTGTTGAAGTCCACACATGGCTGCAGTTGAAAAACACTATTCTAACAATTCTTCACCATCGTTTTTAAGTCTATAAATTATACAGCTTATTTTATATAAATAATACATTATCTTAAAATTTAGCCCTGAGATTACATTTTCTATTTTTACTTCCATTAATGGCTCTTTTAGTTCTCCTAATATTCTATTAAAAAGTGGTTATTAAAGCAATTCTTCTATTTAGTAGAATCTTGGAATAGGAATTTACATCACTCCAACAATCTTTCAATATCCTATTTCCCCCCCCAAATTCTGTTCTTACAGTAGCTTGTTTATTGTAAAGGTTTCTCAGAAACATACTCAAGTATACTGGCACATCCAATAGTTTTAATAAATTCCACATGCTAGTGTGATCTACACAAGGTTGGCACACTACAGCCCACAAATTAAATATATAGACCACTGCCTGTATTTGTGCAGCTCATGAGCTAAGAATGATGGGCAGGCCTATTGGTGGCCTAGGCCTATTGGTGGCTTTCTTGTTGATAACACAGTGCCATTCAATGGTTGCCATGCTCCCTGGCCTGCAGACGTTTCAGCCATGCCCACAGAGGCAGAGAGGCAGGATCTGACTCTTTACTGCTCTTCCTGACCCCTGAACTACACAATCAAAAAACCTACTACAGCCAATAAAAGAAAAATAGTTGTCTTCTGAATTTTAAAAAAATTATTTGTATTTATTGACAATATTTGTAGACCAGACATTCCACCTAAGGCCAATAGCATGCTAAAATATTTTTAACCATAGGAACACACCTTGTTCCTATGTGCTATGACAGAAAATGTCCTGTGAAGAAGGGACTCTCAGCAGGCCCTCTTACTATGTTTAGACTAGGTGGGCAAAATCAATTTTGGCATTTAAGCTGCCAGCCACCAGCTGCACTTGCAGCTTCTCTCCAAGCTTCTTTTCCCCCAAATCCTTTAAATTAGCATTTAAAAGCTCCATCGACTCCAGCCCACCTGCCACTCTACCTTCTGTGACTCCTGTGAGAATCTATCCCTATCAACAAAGTAACTACAAACAGTTTTTGTCTGGTATTTGTAAGTATGCAACAAACACCAGCAAGATGCTATGATGGAGTGCAGGCTCATCACAGTACATGCATTTTACATCACTGCATTCTAATCTCTATATCAATGTCATATCAATATTAGTAGACATAGAGTAGTTAGTATATTAAAACTTTGGAACACTATAAAATTACAGTTCCATAAGTATTACTTACGTGAGTAATTTCCTGTTTGGCAGCTTGCCTCTTGTAGATTGCAATTAGTTCTTGTATATCTTTTTCCTCTACAAATATTTATCATTTTAGAATCACATTTGTAAAAAATACTACTAAAATTTTTCTATTACCCTCATTTGCCTCTATAATCTCCATGGTTACTCACGAGTAATCCCATTTTAATGTATTTTATTTCTCTTGTCCTTTTAATACCAATTCTTTCCTGTTTGTTGCTGTTCTTCAAAAAATAGTTATCCTTTCATAATAAACATTTAAAAGTCTATACTGAGTATTACATCTTTGATGTTGCCCAAGGCTTTCATCTTCTGGTTTTCCCTGGCTATGATAGCTTATTTTGAAAGACAACTGAATCCTTTTTCACTTTCTAATGAAAAATCTAATATTTGTACTTGATTCCCTAATAAACAAGTCTATTATTATTCAAGAAAAATCACATTTTCCAATTCCCCAATAAATACAGTCCCTATTTCATTTTTATTACAAAATTATTGTAACATTGGGAACACACAAGAAAAAAAATCCTATTCAAGCAATAATTGCAATACGTAAGGAAAATATACTGTAAGATAGAACAAAGTATCAAAAGGTACAAGTCAAAGTAATTCATAGTTTTTTGTACTGTTAACTTCAACATGCACACATCCCAAAAGATGTAATATACATACACTGTTGGGAGACATGATTCCCCCCCTCAGTGATATTAAGGGTTACATTCAACAATAGGTAAGAAAACGCCGACTCATCGCCCTCAGGTTTCCTTGGTCTCCTTTCCCCACATTTAGATCTGCACCCAAAGTGCCCTCAGAATAACTTCAGTCGTGTTTATTGGTGTAGAGAGAGAAGGCAGATTCCAAACTCTCAAAATGTCTATTCCACATGTAAATTAATATTCAGTAACTTCAGTCAGCCCACCACGAAAGCTGCTGCAGTGGTTGTAGTTAATTATCTGGTAAGAATAAGAATCATTAAAATGATTCTCATCATCATAACTCAATCACCATTTACAGTAGTTTAGAAATACTAACAATGCATTTTAATCATACCTGGTGTTCGTTTTACACTTACAAGCATCTAATTCTGGCAGTTAAACTATTATCAGTGAATATATTTTGATCAAGAGTTTTCTAACGAATGATCAAAATTTCAACATTATTTGTCCAATGCTAGCCACAATAAGGCTTCCTCGTACTGGTACTGTAAAAATAATTAGCATTGATTTTTCTTTTCACATAGACAATATTTAATTTTTAAGAAAGTCGCTTTTTCAATTAACCTCCCCAGATTATGTCTAAATGTTATGGATCTAAATTCCTATAACCTTTGTCCAACACAAAGATCCTGCTGATTAGGAATTATGAATGCTGCAGTCAAACACACCTAGAAGGCACAAATTGGGAAAGGTGTCTTCAGTGAACATCATTAACTCTTGACAAATTTAGAATTTTCAATTATAGTTGTGTCCACTATATTGGAACAATTTGCTGAAAGTTAATTTTTTAAAGATACCATCAGATTTTACTGATTTATACTAGAACATTTATAGAACATTTCTGAGGGGCGGTTTCTTAGTTTTTAATTTTAAAATTGAATTATCCAAGAACTTACATGAAGGTATCAAGTACCATAGTATCATGCTATTTAAATATAAGGTCACTTTATAGTGCAGCTGGGATGACAACAAACACACCATTTTATTTTAAATTATGATCCGTACTTGAAAATGCAGGTAGAGAAAAACAATCCTGTTTGCATTTTGAAATTGATCCAATTTCCTGATGCACAGATTCACCTTCCTTACCCCTTAAAGTCTTCAATGGACTACAACATATATTTTAGAAAACTCAAAGCAGCCATGGGATTCCTCTTGGGATTGCAGGTGACTTTTTTCTGCTTTGCAAACATAACCTGAGATTATAGTTCATCATTGCTAAACTCGATGAGCAATCTTAACCTCCACTTTATTCAATCCACAGGGTTACTATAACTATTATATCAGTATAAACTCAAATCCTTTTCAGCAAGTATTTCCGTTATACAAAGTGCTTCTGAGCAAAATTTTAAAATATGTATTTGCTAATTTACCCATGACTGCGGTCATGTACTCATTTTTTTAAAAAATCATTCTTTTTGTTAAATAGGATAGAATATATTTAGGATTCAATCTAAACACATGGAACTCTTGAGTTAGAAATGCAGAGGTCTTCAAGGATTGATTTTCCAGATTCATCTTGTTTCCAGAGATGACATTGATGAATTGAAGATTCTTATTCTTCAGCCCCTTCAGGTACAGTACACAGATTATAAACATCATTTTATAAGCCAACAATGAGTAGGACTCCCCAACCCCCAGTCCGCAACCTGGGCCTAGGTCATGGCCCATTGGTAACCAGGCCGGACAAGCAGCGAGTGAACGTGCACGTGCATGCACAAAGCTGCATTTGTGGAAGTGGCACACACATGAAACCCTCCCCTCTCTCCATCTGCCACCCCCACTGGTCCGCCAAGCTGGAAAAGTTGGGGACTGCTGGAGCAGAACACATAAGTTCTGTTTATTCAAATTATAGCTTTCACTTTCCTGAAAAAATATTAAATTTAGGAAACATTCTACTTTGTCTTTCAGTCACTCCCATGGTTAAATAGAGGGGTTCCATTCCTCTTTAGAAGTTACCACTTCCCTCATACTTTAAAATAAAAAGGCCTTGCTTAGAATTCAGCAAACCTCCCACCAACATTGAAATAATATACAGTATATCTTAGGGTTGAAATTCTGATCTCCTCAAATCTTTTTCCACTAAAGACAGACAACTTAATCATTCTTATTTGAACTCTTCTGTTTTGGGGATCTGACAGCAAGTACAGGAGAAGAATTAAATGACAAATTATCTGAAGGAGTCTGGCTGGAGATGGTGGTAGTAAATTCTCCTTGGATCTTCTTAGAGGTCTCTATGACAGAGTTCTTTAGTGTGTCATTCATCTCAATTATTTCAAAGTCTACTTCATTCCATTCTCTGATTTCACTATCCTCATCATCGTCTTCAGGATAGGTGTTGGACAATAAAGCTTCTTGAACTTCCCTGTCTCCAGCATCCTTCAATTTAACATCATCGGAGGATGTCGCTAATTTATACATCACAGGGAACAGTACTGCTGTCATGACAGCTGCTCCCAACGCAGTGTACATGAGCACTGGGAGAGTGGGAAAATATCCTTGAAGGAAGCCAACCGCCCCAGGAATACACATTTCTCCTAGAGCTGCACCCATTACAAACATTGCTGCAGATTTTCCTTGAACAGTGGTGTACTGCTCTAGCCAAGAAATGCCACTGGGAAAGATAGTAGCCATTGAGGCACCATAGACTGCGGAACCAACCCACAGAGCAACTGAGTGTACATTGAAGAGGACCAGGAAGAGTGACGACACAATAGAGCCTACGATACTTATCAGGATCATAGATCCAGGATAAGAGCAGGTAGCGAAGCAGATTGCCAATCCTCTGCAAGCTGCAAAGGTTCCCCAAAAGACAGCGTTCAACCCTGCTGCTTCCGTTTCTTTCATAAAGGCATAGGTTTTTGCATAAGTAAAGATGTAGGAGCCGTAGGTGACCTCTGCTCCAACATACCAAAAAAAAAACACAGAAAGAAGTAGTACGAGAGCATGGTGGTATTTCGCAATTTGGTATTTCTGCATGGAAAGTTTTGTTCTACCATGAACAGGACTGCTCCTCAAATATAAAATAAAGAAAAACAATGCAACAAGTAAGAGGTAAGTGCCAATCACAGCATAAGACCACACAAAATTCCAGTTCAAATGAAGCTTCGGCAACAACGTAGCACCAGGAAGAGAATTCGCACCTGACTGGTTATCAATACTGCTACCCAGAGCAGAACCACCCAGTGCCATCTTCGCCAGGATGGGAGCTACAAAAGCGCCAAGGGCAAAACTGAAATGCAAGGCCTGTATGTGCGGACCAGCTTCTGCTTGCCACGTGTCCAAAGCCAGAACATTCCCACCTGAAAGACAAAGATTCAGAGTCAAATTTTCACATTAAAAAGTTTCATAAACTTACGTGACATCTTCACCTAACACATGCCGTTCCCTTCCTATTCCAACTGGCATCTTTTCAAGGTAGGTAGTAAACTTTTGCAATTTTGTCTTCACCAAAGCAATCTTCTCCCTGGCTGTCTTGTTTCTTTGTTTCATTACAGCTCATTCCCGTTTTCAACTTTGTGAAATGACCACAAAGTCAACAGAGGAGAGGGAATCATGTGATCCTCCAGATGTTGTTGGACTCCATTCCGAATAAGGCCAAATTAATGTGGACAGGAGTAATATGAACTGGCTGAGGAATTCTGGGAGTTGAAGTCCACAAGGCTTAAACTTGCCAAGGTTGAGGACCTCTGCTCTAGAGGCCAAAGCTGTCTATTATTAAGATGTACCAGACTAGGGACGTCCAAACTCAACTTTATCCTCAGACATGGAAGTTCAGTGGATGAATTGGGACTAGTTATTCTTTCATAGTCCAGCCTAGTTTCCAGGACTTCTGTGGAGAAAAACTGAAGGAGGAAGCTGCTAGAAAAAAGCAGAATACAAATTCTAACCAAAAGTAATAAAATAAGTTCCAAGAACACTGCCATTCATCTAATATTCTATTCTTACAGAAGGGCCATCTCTTCTATATGCTCTCATTTTTTGATTTCTTCAAATTACAGTACGTTTTCTTATGGCTACACTTTCCTATATGTTATATTTCAATGAAGCCCAGCTGAGGAAGTGGCCATTTAAACTGCTCTTACAGTTCAAGAAATTATTTCCAACTTTCAGTTGGAATTTTCCTTGTTGTAACTTTAATACAGTATTCTATATCCTGCACTCTGGAATGCTAGAAAACAGACCTTGATCTTCCAATTATTTTACTCTTCCAGTATTTGAAAAGTAGTATCATATTCTCCCTCAGTTTTCTGAAGGATAAACATTCTTAATTTCTTCGAACTATCCCTAAATATATTTGTTTCTCTAAAACCTTAAATATGGTGTTCAGAATTGGACACAATACGCAAACTAAAGGTTGTATGATTAAAGTGGAACTATTACTTTCTATGATTTCTATGCTATACTTCTGTTCATTTAATACCCACTTAGGGGCTTAGCAGGATCAGACCAACTTAATACTTATTAGACTACCAGAGAACTATAGGGCTGCATATTATTTGGCAAGCCAATTCCATGCTATTGTTAAGAAAACTGCTTGAAGGTATCTATTAGTCTTACTCTTTTAAACAATCTTTTGGTTTTCTCCCTTGCTCTCTCATTCAGTCCTAGTCTGAGTCACTTTTCCGTGTCTCTATAATATTTCTCTTGATCCCCTCAGCAAAAATAATGATTTCCTGTAACCATTGCCAGAACATTACTGAAGTACTTAAAGTACTGTATGTGCACCTATATGAAGAAATCTTTCTATATACAAATCAACTTTCTTAGGACTATCCCAAAGATGCTTTTTTTTTTCACGAGGCAACTGGACTTTCTTGTTTTTCTTTGAAGACGTTTCGCTTCTCATCCAAGAAGCTTCTTCAACTCTATCTTAGGACTCTTCAGCTCTATCTTACGACTAAAGTACATACAGTTCTCAATCTCTGAATTTTTACCACCACCAGCACCCCAAAAATAGCATGCAAACAGGAAAAGGCAAATATAACCAAGTGGTGAAATTTAGCTTGGCCTTTGGTCAAGTAAGGAAATTTGCAGGTTCAAATGTTTTATGCACATGATACACACTTAGCAATGTATTAGGAACGCATAATTTATTATAAAGGAATGTAACACAGTTCTACTGAGTGATCTCAACATGATGAAAGGGAAAAAAAGACCATATGTGTAGTAAGGTTTGGTTTTTTTACCTGTATCCAGAATTCCCATTGCAAAACCAATGATGGACATCACGGCTGTTAACAAGATGGCTTTCTTACACCATGGAATAGCATACAGGCCTACTGTTGTACCCACCATAGATAAGCCTACAAATACAAATAATTTAAAAATTTCAAATAGAACATTTTAAGAATTAAAATTGCCCGTGTTTTATTTTAAATCCAGTAAATTCAAAGCCAGTATAATTTTGATTTGTATTTACGGTTATTACTAAATCGTGGAGAAATGTAGCTTATTTAATGTAGCAGTCTTATATCAAATGTACTCATGTTTTAGGCTGCGATCGTCAGCATTTATAATTTGGAATAATGCTACTGATCTCTATGGGGCCTTCTTCCTAATAGTATATTTTGGATTTAGGTTCAAGAAGGTTGCTCAAAGGTTAGAAAGCATTGCTTCAATGATTTAGAAATACTGCGGCATAGAAAACAATTGGCTTCAATCAATTTAAAATTGCTTCTCATCCTTCCCCAAACCTTGACTTCTGCAGAATTCTGAAGAGTTTATTTATTTGTATGCTGTCCATTCCTGAAGCGTCAAGTGGCTACCAATCACAAATTTCATACAATAACCCCTCCAACAATTACACAAATAAATCCACCCCAAATGGATTTTAAAAAGAGATGAAGGAAAGCATATGAAGTCATATGACCACCACTACATCCAAATTCATAACATTCTTTCCTCCTGGGCTACATGGAAAAGCCGGGTTTTATCTGCTCTCCAAAACCCAGGAGAGAAGGGACTGACTATATTCCAAGGCATAAGAACATCAACTGCAAATGCCCGTTTCTTAGGAGCCTTCAGATGTCTTTCTTTGGCCAGAAATTACTTTATTTCATCTGACTGGATGGGCAGATGAACATGGAGAAGGTGGTCCCTCCGATAACTGAATCTGGAGCCATGAGACTTTAAAGGTGACAAGAAGCACCTTCAACTGCATTCAGAAGCCAGCTGGCAACCAATGGAACATCCAAAGCAATGGGGTCACCCATGGATAATGGAAAATACTCATCCTTGACCAGCCTGTCATGTTTTAGACTAGCTGTCACTTCCAATTGCTTTTCAAGGGCAGTCCCATGTACGGTCTGCTACAGTAATTGAAATAGGAGGTAAGCAAGGCTCCCTGACTCAGGAATGGTGCACAAAATGGAGCTCTGAAAAAGCCAGTTCCAAATACAACTGAAAGTCTGTAGACTGCAAAAGGAAGTCTTACATAGAAACTAGGAAGGCAGTCTCATATAGCAAGGCCACTAAACTTGCATGGCAGTTCGGTGGTATCTCTATGTCATACATCTTTATATGTAATATGTTTAAAAGTCCTAAAACCCATTTGTTAATAAAGAATTGTGACTCTGAAACCAAGACAAAAGGATTGAGAACACTTGAGTAAGTGAGATAAAAAAAAGAACTCGAAACAATGTTCTAAATACCTAATGCCAATAAAGAAGCAATCAATAAAAATGCACTTCCTTGACTAAGTTAAAAAGGGAATGACTTATTTTTTTAGCAGACGGGACTGCTGAACAGAAAATATCAAAATATTTCAGTTCTCTATGCTCCTTATTTTGATATAAATTGCTTTTGAATGACATCCTAAAGTCACTGGTCTAAGACAGGGGTCCCTAACCCCCGGTCCGTGGACCAGTACCGGTCCGCAGCACGCCAGCAACCGGTCCGCACAAACAAGCAAAGCCCCATCCGCGAGATGCAGGCAACTCACAAAACCACACACCCTCCGGTCCACGGAAAAACCTCTCTTCACGGAACCGGTCCCTGGTGCCCAAAAGGTTGTGGACCTCTGGCTTAAGACTATAAGAATTCAGTCCCGATACTTTTCCAAAGAATACAGCATATTACAAATGATGCACTCATTCTGTTTTTGTTGAGTTTCCACTCCAGAAAATTGGATGCAGTAGACATTTGATTAAATACAGCTAAAAGCCAGAGTAAAAATAGTCTGATTTTTTGGTTGGTAAGACAGCAATCAGAATATTAAATTCTGAGCACCAACTAGGGCACATGCAGGAGACAAACAACAAGAAAACCAAGAGCTTGTAAGGAGAAATTTAAGAGGTGACCGAATCTACTCTTCTGGAGTTTGCTCCAGATAGCTGAACTACATGATTCCAAGGTCCCCTCTAATATTTTTGTTCATCTCTGTAACGGACACACATGTAGATGAAGTTAGAAAACTTCAGGAAGAGGTTAAAAGAAAAGAACTGATGCAATTACTGTCCCATTTCTGATCCACTAAGTAGAAGGATTTTCAAATTTGTATATTGCTTTTGTCTAATTCTCATTATTGTATAATACAGTATATCTGTAAACACAAGTATTACTCTCTTAGGGATAGATATGCAACACCTCTTCTACTAAAAGGACAACAATCTATATTATCCATATTCAATTTTTTTCCACTTACCCAAAAGAAACTTGGAGTTCATGCAGTCAAAAAGTATTCCACCAATTAGAGAACCACCAAAGTATCCCACTGAACGGCCTACGAAGATATATGAAATTTGACTGACATTTTTGTTCACATTTGCAGCCAAGTCTTGAAATGTAGGTCCTAGAATAGCAATAGCCATCCCCTAGAAAGAAATAAAATCAATAGGAAATAAAAAAATAGCTGTTCTTAATAAAGCTTTGCAAAATTGTTCAAACAATTCAGCATACTTATTTGAAAATAAGGCTGACTGAAGTTAATGGACTACATCAACCCTCACTTTTCTGTGCAGATACCATAGAATAACACAATTACCAACAGGGTGTTTCTATGAAGCCTATAAAAGAAGGCCTGGAAGCAGAACTAATTCCATTTGTTGCTCCCTCCAACTTATATTGCTTAGGGTTTCTTTTCTTTTTTGGTGTCTTTAAGTCAATCTTGACTCCTGGCAACTGCCTAAACAAGTCTCTGCAGTATCCTTGGCAAGATTTTCCAGAAGTAGTTTGCCGCCGTTTGCCATTGTCTCCTACCTAGGGCTGAGAGAGGGTGACTGCCCCAAGATCACTCAACTGATTTTATGCCTCAAATGGGACTAGAAGTCACAGTCACAGTCAGGTTTCTAGCCTGATGCCTTAATCACTACACCAAACGGGTTGTCCCATTGTTCTTTTAGAGCAGGGCTTTTCAACCTTTTTACAGATTGTATCACTTTTAGGATATGGCAATATTCGAGTACCACCAGTCACCTAGCAAGGTGTCAAAAACTTGGAAGACACCCCCCCCAAAAAAGGGAAAAAGTGATAAAGTACAGGTAGTCCTCGACTTACAACAATTCGCTCAGTGACTGTTCAAAGTTACAATGGCACTGAAGTGACTTATAACCATTTTTCACACTTGTGACCATTGCAGTATCCCCTGGGTCACGTGATTTATATTTGGATGCTTGGCAACTGATTCATATTTATGATGGTCACAGTGTCCCAGGATCAGGTGGTCCCCTTTTGCAACCTTTTGACAAGCAGAGCTGCTGGTGGCCAAGTGCTAAGGCGGGACTTCCTTCAGACCCTCCCTCCCTTTCATTCCAATCTCCCTCCCTCCTCTCTTCCTTCCTGTTTCCCTCCCTCCCTCCCTCCTTCCCTGCCTCCCTCTTATTTCCATCTCCTTCCTTCTGAAGGAAGAATTTGAAAATACCACACCCCATATTTTCCCTCTTCCATATATTTATCAAACAAGGAAAAGCTTCCAGAGACAGAAAAGACAAGCCACTGAGGGAAGTAGCTTAAAAAGGCACATTCCCCTTTAAGAATTAGCTATTGGCTAGAAAGAAAAGTTAAGGAACCGGCTGCCGGCTAAGGCAGCCTCCCCAAATGGCTCCATTCATAAGTAAATGAATGCTATAGGCAAAATCCATTCAGGACAAAAATACTTCAAAATCCCTTGCAGCAAAACTTACAGCTAACAATAGCAGAGCAATAGAATTAGAACCCAAAATCCAACACGGGACATCAGCCATCAGCCACAATATAAATTGCCAAACACTCCTTAAGAACACAAAGCCCACATTGCACAAATCCCAGAACTTCAAAGTCACAAAATCACCTAAGAATCTTTCCACTCTCCAGTTTGTTGTTCAGCTGATCCAGAACCGAACTGCTGAAACGGCACTTCGCTTCTGCCAATAAACATCTCCTCTCGAGCAGCCGGAGCAGTCGGCTACCTCTCGCCTATTTCAAACAGCTTCTTTTTTTTTTCTCTCGGCTTTTTCTTCCAAATCTTCCTTCCTTTCCATTTCCCTCCTGCTCTCTACCTCCCTTTCTCATTGCCATCTCCTCCCTCCCTCCCTCCCTCACCTCTAGCCAATGCTGCCTTTCTTCATTCCTCGTGGAGGGATTTCTTGCCTGTCGCTGCCACCTGTGTGCGCGCCTGACATGGATGGCTGCCACAGAAGTTGTAGATCGGCTCCCGGCCAACCTATCTGATCTCCTCTCCTCTCTCCCCCCCTCCTCCTTCTTTTCCCTTTGGTGCAGCTCCAGCTGACTCCTCTTCCCAAGGCTGCATCTTTTTTTTCCTCTCCCTCTCCTGCCCAAACTACCTCCTTTTATAGCTTCTGCCCCCCTCCTCCTCCTTTCTCTTCCGGGTGAGGTGGAAGTGCCAATCCTGGGGCCTCACCCCAGCCACCCTGAAGCTCCTGAGGACTCTCTCACGGCCAGTCCTGCACTGCGCCGCTTTGGCTCGTTCCCTCCTCCACTACACTTGGCTAGGCTGGGCAGGGCCGTGTACCACCTGCCAGATGCCAATGTACCACAGGTGGTACGTGTACCACCGATTGAAAAGCTCTGTTTTAGAATATCACATGTCTATCTTGACTAGGGACCATAATAACCTTATTTAGGTGTCACAGAAAAAGTTGAAAGAACTCATCACGCAAACCACATGGATAAGGCCAAAGTTGCAACTGCTGACATCTTATTAGAAGACGCATCTACGCTTACAAGAATAGTTGTATTGGAGTGGATTTTGTGTGCTTATGCATCAGGTTGCTCACACACTCAAATTCTGCACCATACCAGTTGAAATCTCCCATGAAGATTTCCCAGAATAGAGAAATTTCTGCAGGATCCTGGACACATATATTTGCCTTCATTCATGAGAGAAATTTCTCAGAAATTCTTAGACCTGCTCCAAGAGGTTTCTTTCTCAGATCACCAACTATCAAATTGTATCAGGAGGGGATCTATACAATAGGCCTCAAGGATGTCTTTTGAAAGGTGTGTCAATATGAAAATACACAAAAGTGTCAAATACCCAGGCACTCCAGATCTCTGGCCAATTTGTCTATATAGATCAAAACCTCCGTAAGGAATTATTCCTGTAACATCCATGGGCAATGAAGCCCTATCCAAAATAAATTTACCATCACGAATCAAATTTTATTATGGTCATTCACCAGCACCACACTCCAAAAAGAACTGCTATCAGAATTTTTGTCTACCTAAGCTAAGCTTGTTAATTGACTTTTATTTTGTCTTTTATTGATATGCAAATTCATGTTTGTTACAATTTTCATGTCTCACTAATAAAAAAAGGAGCCAAATAACATTCCTCCATCTACAGCATCTGAGTCCAAGCCTTTTTGTTAATCTCATCTAGTGGTATCATGAAGAACTTGACCTACTCATTAACAAACGGAAGCATTTTATTTATTCTTTAGCATGGAAGCTAAAATGCTGGTTCGAAGTCAGGGTTACCCAGTTTCAAGATGACCACAGTGTTTACAAAGTGCTTTTGAGCCAAATACTGTCTCTCATCCCACCCTAGATCAGTGGTTCTCAACCTTTTTAATGCCGCGACCCCAACCGGTCGTAAGTCGAGGACTAAACCGGTTGTAAGTCGAGGACTACCCAACCGGTCGTAAGTCGAGGACTTTCCCTGCCGGGGAGTGCCGCGCATGCGTGGTTCCGCCCCCTGCGCCGGCCGAGGCGTAGCTGGCAAGCGGCAGAGACGGAGCAGGCCGACCACCAGCTGGCCCAGCCCAAGGGAGGTAAGGCACCCGCCAGAAAAGGGAGAAAAAAATGGCGGACAAAAAAAATGGCGGACAGCCTTGCTTGGCGACCCCCGTGAAATGGTCGATCGACCCCAAATGGGGTCCCGACCCACAGGTTGAGAACCACTGCCCTAGATGATTCTTGCAAAAATGAAACCAGAAGACCTGCCAGGCATGCCATTTTAAATTTCCAATGCAAGAGTGGGATGTAAACATTCAGTGTCATGTAGTGGTTGTGATCATTAGCATTATACTGAGTGTATTGTACAGGTAGTCCTCAACTTACAACAGTTCGTTTAGTGACCATTCGAAGTTACATCACTGAAAAAAAATGACTTATGACCATTTTTCACACTTATGTCCGTTGCAGCATCCCCATGTTCATGTGATCAAAATTCAGATGCTTGGCAACTGGCTCATATTTAGGACGGTTGCAGTGTCCCGGGGTCATGCCTATCACTTTTTGTGACCGTCTGACAAGCAAAGTCAATGGGGAAGCCAGATTCACTTAACAACTGTGTTACTAACTTAACAACGCAGTGATTCTCTTGACAAATGTGGCAAGAAACGTCATAAAACGGCAAAGCAAAGCTCCCTTAACAATTTTCTCCCTTAGCAACATACATTTTGGGCTCAAGTGTGGTCGTACCTCGAGGACTCCCTGTATGTTAGGCTTGAATACCAAGGCATTTGTTCATAGTCCAGCAGGACCATGTTTTCTCCTTAAGCAGTGGTTCTCAACCTGTGGGTCGGGACCCCATCACGGGGGTCGCCAAGCAAGGCTGTCCGCCATTTTTTTTTGTCCGCCATTTTTTTCCCCCTTTTCCGGCGGGTGCCTTACCTCCCTTGGGCTGGGCCAGCTGGTGGTCGGCCTGCTCCATCTCTGCCGCTTGCCAGCTACGCCTCGGCCGGCGCAGGGGGCGGAACCACGCATGCGCAGTGCTCCCGGGCAGGGAAAGTCCTCGACTTACGACCGGTTGGGTAGTCCTCGACTTACGACCGGTTGGGGTCGCGGCATTAAAAAGGTTGAGAACCACTGTCCTTAAGGGAGACAGAGAGCCCCGGGCAGCCCACTCGGTCTGGGGTGGCGTGTGTCTGCCGACTGCCGCTCTTTCAAGGGCGCCAGAGGGCAGCGCCCACCCTGGGTTTCTTTCCCTCCCAGGAAGCTGCGGGCCCGGCCAGAAGGGCAGGGAGCCCGCGGGGCAGCGGGTCATCGAAGGAGGAAGCCGGCTGTCACCCTGCGCGCTGCCCGGCTGGCTCGCCCGCCTGCCTGCCTTTCTCGCCTCCTTACCAGGCCCAGGAAAGCGGCGCAAAGAGCAGCCGAAATGCACCACTTCAGGGCCCGCCGGGAAGCCGCCGCCGCCGCCTGCTGCTTTCCCACGCCAAGGCCACCTCCTGCCCGGCTTCTTCGGCCGCTGCCATCTGCCACCTTTACAACCGGCTGAAGGGCAAGCCGCGCCGAGCTTCCGGGTAGTCCCTTCGGGGGCGACTCTCCGGCGGCGGCGGCGGCTCTCTCCGCCGCGGCCTCCCTGAGGGCTCCCGCTTCTGGCGCTCCATCTTCTTCCAGCCGGGCAAAGCGGACCTGCTTCTTCGCGCCCCCCGCCATGTCTACACCCGAGGGCCGCCGAGGCAGAGCCGGGCAGGCGACACGTGACCGACTAATCCCGGAGCCAGCGGCATCTTGGACAGGCCAAGAAGTGCCTCTCCTTGAAAAAAACCACAATTCCCAGAAAGCACCGCAAACGGTCCGTTTACGGTGCGGAGACTGTCGCCGCAAAACACGTCCCTTCTGTTTTTCACGCCAATGCTCCCATTGGCTAACTTCAGGCGAATTAAATTCGCATCTCCGGTTATTGACGTGACCGACGCCCACTGAAGCGAAGAGGGGCGTGCCCCGATGTGATTCCTCCTAACCCTCTTGCTGGAGAGTTAAAGTTACGTTTGCCATATCCGCGAAGAGAAGCAGAGCAGCGAGGAAAGAGTATATAGTAATCCTTTGATTAATCTCCTTTTCTTTTCTTCACCGTAGAGAAGCCGCTGTTCTTCCTGCGTTTCATTACGAAACGACAGAAAAACGTATAAAACGTAAGGTAGGATTGATTGCCTATAGCCAGGGGTAGGCAACCTTGGCTCTTTTATGACTCGTGGACTTCAACTCCCAGAATTCCTGAGCCAGCCAAGCTGGCTCAGGAATTCTGGGAGTTGAAGTCCACGAGTCATAAAAGAGCCAAGGTTGCCTACCCCTGGCCTATACAAAACCATGCCCGTTCAGAAATAAAAAAAAAATCGCAAACGAAAGGACAAGTGAATATAAGTAAGTCTCGGGTCTTACTTTAAGGAAAAAGCATGGCTCGCAAAGCCCAACTGGACGCGAGGGAGTTGTTTGGATGAGTTGTTTGCAGGAAAGTCCGCTGCTGTTAACAGTCGGCTAAAATTGATTTGGTTGATTGAATAATTAACTACACGCATCCTAAGATTGTCAGAGTCGCCGTTGCAAGCAACTCTCATTTCCCGGAGTATAGGATAATAAAAAAAAAAGGGAAGGTATGTTATGCGCGAGTCGAGGTCTGCCACGTGTACGAGAAGGAGGAGGGCCGTCCGAAGCGAGAACCGGATCAAGGTCAGGCAGACTTTGGAGAAAGGGAGAATGGAGGCTAATTGCCGCGTGTTAGTAAAGAGTGCTGGCAATTCAACCGAGGCTTCAAATAAGGAAATGTTCCGAAAACGAGATTTGTTTTTTATTTTTACTCCTGGCAGGTGCAGCTGAATTGCAGGCATTATTTCTCTACCTTGCCTTGGGCACCTGGAACAAACTTAGTCCTTTCTTCTAAGTGGCTGAAGCAAGCAGAGGTGAACCTACCATGGCTTCTGATCCATAATTTGAGAATTTTGCTCAAACCTGGCCACTGCACAGAAAAATATGGTTAGTTTTGAAAGAAAAATAGAATTTGGCTCTCGTATTAAAATCTCATATCCAAAAAATGGTTTGCCCTCTGTGGACATTGATAATTGATGGGTGTGATATCCTTGTGATTACAAGTGTGGGTACATAACTTTGTAACTTTACCTATCAATGGAAAAAGAAGCCATTTATATGCGTAGAATTGGGCTATAAGGCTGCTGTTGGTAAGTTCCAAGTTATAACAAAAGAATATTTTTCAAAAGCAGCATGCTCTACAGGGGCTGATGGAAGTCACTTGACCATCCTGTTTGTTGGCTAGCTAGCTCATCTTAACATCTTTTTTATTTTCTAGTGCAGTCAGTTGCAGCTGCCCTTGGAACAGAGTGAAAAGAGGCTGTGCTCAGAGTAACTATACCATTCCTCCTTCACAGAAAGTTGGTCCCCTCACAGATTCAATAAGAATCAGTATTATACACAGCAAATCAAAAAACAAGAAAAAAGTTGAAACAAAAAGACATGAAAAAAGTAATTGTGATTGTGGACAGTTGCTCCATCAATCTAGGGTCTCCCACAATACACATAGATACAACAGACACAACAATCTACATCAATCTCTGTAAAATAAGGCAACATCCCCAAACCAAGCTTATACTGCATCTAAATTTAATAATCCTAACTAATGATTCCATCTTCATGCCCACTATCCTGCCTCATCATGGCAGGGAAAGTTTTTTATATAGAATAGAATAAGGATAAGAATAGAATAATAAGAATTAGAATTAGAATTATTAGAATTAGAATCAAATCAAATCTGGAAGGGACCTTGGAAGTCTTCTAGTCCAGCCCCATGCTCAAGCAGGAGAACCTATACCATCTCAGACAAGTGATTGTCTAGCCTCTTCTTAAAAATCTCCAGTGATGGAGCTTCCATGATTTCTGGAGGCAAGCTGTTCCCACTGGTTAATTGTCCTCACTGCCAGGAAGTTTCTCCTTAATTCCAGGTTGCTTCTCGCTTTGATCAGTTTCCAACCATTGTTTCTCATCCTTCCCTCTGGTGCTTTGGTAAATAACGTGACCCCCTTTTCTTTGTGGCAGCTCCTCAAATACTGGAATACTGCTATCATGTCTCCTCTATTTCTTCTTTTCTTTAGACTAGCCAAACCCAAGTCCCACAGCCGTTCTTTGCATGTTTTAATCTCCAGGTCTTTGATCATCTTAGTTGCTCTTCTCTGAATTTTTTCCAAACTCTCAACATCTTTTTTGTGATATGGTGACCAAAATTGGCTGCAGTATTCCAGGTATGGTCTTATAAAGCAGTACTGATACTTCACATAATCTTGATTCTATGCCTCTGTTTATACAACCCAGGATTGTATTAGCTTTTTTGGTTGCTGCTGAACACTGCTGGTTCATAGTCAAGTGATCGTCCACTAGGACTCCAAGGTCCCTATCACAGTTACTGTTTTTAAGCCAGATCTTGCCCAATCTGTACATTTGATTTTTCCTGCCTAAATGTAAAACTTTGCTTTTCTACACATTGAAACTCATTTTGTTGGATAGGGCCCATTGTTCAAGTTTGTCAAGATCTTTTTGGATCCTTTGTCTTGGGTGTTGGCTATTCCTGTCAGTTTGGTGTCATCTGCAAATTTGATGAGTTCCCCTTCAATTCCCTCATCATTTATGAAGATATTGAAGAGTACTGGGCCTAAGATGGAACCTTGTGGTATCCCGCTGCTTACTTCTCTCCTTGTAGATATAGTGCCATTGAGGACTACTCGTTGAGTACGGTTTGCCAGCCAGCTACAGATCCATCTGGTGGTGATGTTGCCTATTCCACCTTTTTCTAGCTTACCAAGGAGTAGGTTGTGATCTACTTATCAAATGCCTTACTGAAATCTAAGTATACTACGTCCACAACATTTCGCTGCTCCACTGGTTTAATCACTTTATCGAAGAATGAAATAAGATTGGTTTGGCATGATCTGTTTTTAACGAACCCGTGCTGGCTACTAGTTATAAATTTGTTTGCTTCTAGTGGTTGTTCGCAGATCTGTTTTTTATTAGGATCTTCCCAGGTATTGATGTTAAACTGATTGGTCTATAGTTTCCTGAGTCTGTTTTTTTCCCTTTCTTGAATATGGGAACCACATAAGCCAGTTGTGGCGAACCTATGGCATACGTGCCAGAGGTGGCACTCGGAGCCCTCTCTGTGGGCACATGTGCCGTTGCCCCAGCCTCACCTCCCCCCCGACCCTGTCCTCACCAACAGCCCCCCGGAGGAGAGTCGCCCCTGAGCGTGGCCCACATGGAGCAGTGCAGCCAAGGACATGGCAGCCAGGCAGCGTGGACAAGACTCTGCCCTCACGCCTCATTGCGCACAGTTGATGCTGCGGGGCGTGGGCAGAGGGCGTGGCCGCCATGGCGCTGCTGGGCTGTCTGGGCGATCTGCAGCGGGCCCTGGAGGCGGTGAATGGCCCTGTGGGCAGGTGGGGTGGGGGCGGGGCAGGGGGTGGAGCGGGGGCAGGGCCAGTTTTTGGGCACTCGGTCTCTAAAAGGTTCGCCATCACTAACATAAGACCTTTTCCAATCCTCAGGTACTTCCCTGGTGCTCCAGGATTTATGAAAGATGTGGTTGTAATGGTTCTGAGATAACATCTGCCAGCTTCTTCAGAACTCTGGGATGTAATCTTTCAGGTCCCGGTGATTTATACCTGTCAAGGTTGGATAGATGTTCTCTTACCATTTTCTTGCTTATTTTAATTTTTGTTTCTAGTTTGTCTTTTGTAGTGGTTTTTTTGGTATGTTGGGCTATAGTTTCTCTTTGTGTGAAGACTGATGCAAAGTATGAGTTAAGCAGTTCTGCTTTCTCCTTGTTGCCTGTTATTTCCTTGCCATCTTCTCTCTTTAATGGACCTACAGTTTCCTTGTCCTTTTTCTTGTTGTTAATGTGTTGGAAGAAACTTTTTTTTATTATCCTTGATTTCTGTTGCAAGTCTTTGTTCATTCTGAGCATTTGCTTTCCTGACTTCATCTTTGCATGTTCTGGCTGTCTGCTGATAATCGGCCTATAATAATAATGATAATAATCTTTGTGCAGCCATGCTGGTTTCTTCTTGAATTTCTTGTTTTTCTTTTTCAGTGGTATTGTGCTGGTATGGGCTTTTATGATCGCATTTTTCAGAGTTTCCCAAGATTCTTGGGTTGTTTTCCCCTTTAGGATTTTCATCCATGGGATCTTTAATAGGTTCTCTCTGAGTTTGTTAAAGTATTCTGGCAGTATACACCAAAAATATTTACTCTCAGCAGTGTCACAGAGATGTAAAGGTCATCCCAGTTGCTCAGCTAAAGCACGGGTGTCAAACTCACCACATCACATGACGTGTCGTGACGTATCGCAACTTTTTTCACATTGCCGGAGCTGGGGTGGGCAA